CAACTGCCTTTCTGCACAGCATTTCAATGAAAACACTCAAGGTGAGATAGATTTCTTCCCTAGCAGACTAACAGCATCTTAAAGCTCTTTATATCAATATTGGGCATGAAAAAACCAAGATACATTAAAAAAAAAATAGTTAAACCAGCATTCAGACAACCTCTCCAAAAATTAGCAAGACTTCTATCTCCTTGCTATGCAAAAACCAGTCAAGATGTCCTGAAATTCAGAAGGGGTATATGATGAGATCCAAAGAACTCAAAATGATAGTAGTAAAAACTAGGATTTCACCATGAAAGTCCACATACAAATCTTTTTGTGATCCAAATCAGTGTGGTTTGATCCAACTTAGTTTTCTGAGATTTAAATATTCTCTGACAATACTTACCTGTGCAACTCTGTGGAAAAAGTCCTTAAACTCACTAAATTAGCTCTTACTATATTTATATACTAAAACTCACTAATCAGATGTCTTGAGACATCAGGCTAAAGTACTCATATTGGAAAAATCAGATATATCTGTTAGGATTTTAATAGCTACAGTAGTTTAAAGGAAATATTCTTGCAAACACTACTTGGGTTATTCTATCAGACACTGGAGATTTTTTTTCATTGGATGAGCCATAAAAACTACAGAATGTTTGCCAAAAAAACAGACCAAGGTTATCTAGCCAACAATGAAGCTTAAAAAAAACAAAACAAAACAAAATTCTTATCATATTGTGAAATATATGAAGCTTCTCAGTATCACACTTACAAAATGATGCTTCTTAAAAGTTCATAAAGTCAATATAACTTGGCAGAGAATAGGCCCTTGCCAAGACAGAATCCACTACTGGTTCAAAATGACAAATTTAGTAGAAGAGTTGACTAGATAAACAGAAGCAAGTTTCTCACTTTGTATCTGATGTCTCAGGTGACCTGCTGAAAGTGTATCAGAGCAGTGAAACACCTGGGTGACTACTCCAATATAAGAGAAGCATTTCATAAACACACTTGCTTGATTGAAATGCTCAACATTAATAAGAGCAGTTGTCTCCTGCAAACATCAGGGATAATGAAGGTTGGGCCTGGTAGGAATATTTCTATTCCCCTTTAATGATAACAGCTCAGCCACACCAAGCAGATAAAAAATCTGACTGTCTAAAGAGGCACCTCCCGAGGCCACTCCAATGGTTGGGTGCCCACATGATTTATTATACAACACATAACCTCGTACTACATTACACCAGATACATTATTCAGCTTCAGCACACAGCAAAAGTCTCCACATCATCCTCTAAAGAAAAACATCACCAACTGCTCACCAATAACGCAGCTGCTCAGCCTTCAAGGCACTTGTGAACTTAGGACAAAACACAACACAAAATGGCAGCATCTCTACTTTTATCTGGGCTCCAATGAAGCCCTTAATCTCCACCCTATGTCCAGCTTGCATCAACTTGTCCTGACATTTGTCAGTAATTACATTCAGCAGAACAGACAGGCACTTGAATATCAAGCAAAAAGAAGTTTCTACTTTTTACCAATCCTGAAAAAACCCAACAGTGGTCTTTGTACTTGGCTGCCATGTTCCTGCTCTGTGGCTGCTTCAAATCTGTAGCACCTGATCCCAGGTAAGGCAATGCTGAGTCAACTGCTGCAGGATGACCAGATTTATCCCCTTCTTCCTGTGTATCAGTCTCTGCCTGCTCACTCAGTTCAGACTTGACCTTTTTGTGATCTTTCACAACTCTTCAGACAGAAAGAGTGATTCTTATTAACCAACCTGGAACATTCTCTGTGCCCTAAAACATCTTTAAAGGAATATTAAAATATCATCCATTTCACCCAGTCTTCCAATATTTCCAGTGTGTTTGCAACTGTGTAATCCAAAGCTAGAACCACTGACACTGGGGAGACCACATACTATACAACACTCATGAGTTGCTTTTCACATAAGCATTTCTTACTTGTTTTGAGACAACCAAAGATAAGATCAAAAGTCCTGCTTCTTGTCTTCTAAGTAGCTGCTGTTCTTAAGCTACTATGATTTAAAAAAAAATAATCTGGATAAGGCAGGCAGAGGTGCTTCTCCCTCGCTAAAAAAACAACACTGTTTCAATTAAAGCATGCTATAAAAAGGCAGCAGCACTAGAATTTGACATCCCTGCTCAATTAAACGAAATAAAAGATACGTAAATATTTTGAAGTTATCATCACTAAACCCATCAGTAAAATAAAATCAATCTACATTGAAAAGAATCCTTAATATTAAAACTCCAGAAACTTTTATAAAGCAGAAATAAAAATGTCATGAGTTGTTACAGTTCATAAACTGGAAGACTGTAGAGACTGAAAGACCACCAAAAAAAATATCTTGCAGAACATCCAGAATTCTGCCAACACTGTTTTTGCTGCAGAAATCATAGGTTCATGCTCTTCAAGGTGGGTTTCAGGTGCTAGTAAGCAAATAGTACTAACTCAATTGGAGATTGAACTGTTTGCTGTGTCAAAGCTTTTTGCCAAACTCATATATATAATTTTTCTCTTTGCTATATGGATAATCAACCCCAGATGGCAATTTACATAGGCAACAGCATAAAGGAATCCATGCACTGCTGGTGCTCTCAGCCTCAATCAGAGCAAGCATGGGCGTTTGAGAATGTCACTGTTTATTTTTAATTGCTGTGTACCTCCTTTGTGCAGGTTCAAGCGGTCAAAGATGTCGAAGTCCATTAGTAGAACTGGAAGGTGATGCCACTTCATTTGGTGCGAGGGTTCCTCAAATTTAAAAAGCAGCTGGTTTGTAATGTCCCTAAATGCCCAGTGGGCACCAGCTGTCAATCTCAGTTACCACAGGGTCAGGGCAAAAAAAGGTCAGAGAGAGTCATAAACCACAATGTGTTGTGAAATGTGCTTCCTCCGTTACCTTGCAGGCCTGAGAAAGGTTTGACCTCTTATAGGTATCCTAATCCAGCTCTGTATGATGCTAGCAGGGCTAAGGACAACACAACTCAAACTTACAAGTCCCTGCCTTTTTCTGTGCCTCAGTTTCCATACCTGTACAATGTGAACATGAATATTCACAAGCTGTGAGTGGCAAAAAACACAAAACTCTTCCCACACTATTACCACTCAGAGCTAAGGACACATCTGTTCCACACAAGGTGATGGAAGGATTAATTCACTAACAGCAACTGGAAATAACTGAAGCTTTGAAGGAAATTTCCAGTGCCATAAAAGCCAAGTGATCTGGCTTCTCTTTGTCAATGACCTGTTCATCTACTAACTTGCCTTTCACTTCACTGCTCCCTCAGTCACTTGGGAAGAAAGCATCTTTTAAAGTGTGACTTAAATTCTTCCATTCTGTTCTTCTAAACACCCAGTTGCAATATGCAACTATATTTTTGTCATTTTCCCCTTTATATGGATTCTCAAAGAGACTGACTCCTAAACGTAATTCTGCAAAACATTATTGGACTATACATGAAGAGCTGACCAGTCGTTTCCAGATATAATCGAGTTACACGTTCTTTCTTTGTAAGAAAGGACTGTGCTCTGTCTCTCCCCCATCTCCCAGAGCACAATGCAACAGGAAGTTTGGCCAGTGCTATGCCAAAAGCAAAGTAACTAACCAGCTACGTAAGGCCACTGCTGGGCAGAAGCCATCACTTACTAGCTTTGTGCTCCTAAGTACTTGTCCCTCCTTGGACCACTTGGTGCAGGCTGGCCCAGGACAGCAGCAGGACACAACTGAAAAGGGAAGGAATACTGGCAAGGTAAAAGCAGGGGGGATGGAAAGCAAAGCTACCAACTCAGCAGGTAGAACATTCCCTGCAGGAGTTACAAGCTTGACTCCCAGAACTGGCTATATGCTGCAAATGAAAACACAGCCAGTGAGGAACTCCACTGGCACAGCAGACCTGGTGGGGTACATACTATGAAAACCACCTTTTTACAAATGACTACAATATAAACTAGATGGCCACAGTTACCACAGAAGAGGCTGACCAGAAAAATTGTAGCAGCTATCAGCAAAATATTTCAGGTAAAACCAGAATACCTCACTTAATCCTTCACTTGCCCACAATGTAGAAGGAAAAATGAGAAAGCAGCATGTTCGTGTAAGAGTAAGGTCCTTATATTAACACAACTTGAGGATAATACTGACAGCACTAAAGTGGCTCCATCCAGCCTTGTTCAGCCAAAAGCTACCTACTCACAGATGTAACTGGCTGGGTCTGCTTTAACTGGCAGCTGCAAAATGCTCCAAAATCTTGACTTATTTTGCCCAATTAATAAAAAAGGAAGCTATGAGCAGTTCAAATTAGCACCTGTGAAATAGGCTTCATCTGTTCCAAGCCTAAAGTCACCCCATTTTCTTTCAACGGATAAATATATTTTAAGGAAACAAAATAGTAATAACAAGCAGTTCAAAGGCCACTGAAAGGCCTTTTGACTTCCTACAGGCTCTCTAAAAAGCCCAATGGAAACAAGCCACCAATTACATCCCAGAATTTCTCCCAGGACATGCTGACATCAGTTAAAGCCCCAGCAAACAAAGAGAACGTGCATCAAGCATTTCAGTGCCCTCTTCTTGTCATTTCCTTCACTTCCAGACATTTCAGGAAACCTATCTACTCAGGTTCTTTTGCAGGCCTTCTCACTGCAACACATCTCAAATGAAAGTAGCCTCACTCAAACTTTGTTCAAGTCCTTAGGCACATCCTGTCTTGGAAAGATGCCCACCTTGCTTTTCTAACTTTGAAAGTTTAACATGCTAATCTAGGTCTGCCTTCTTTTCATTCAACTAAAACAGAGCAGGTAACTTCACAAGCTGCCTTATTTAAAAATCTGTCTTCCTTTTATAAGCTCTCATATAGTGGAGTGCCAAAAAAAAAAAAAAAAGGACAGACAATATAATTGAATAATTTCAGACTGGAAAGGAACACACGCTTCTTTGTTAAGTCTCTCTTTCTATCAGGAAAATTGGAGGGGAGTGAAAATGAGAGACTCACCTTCAGGGCAGGAATCTCCACATTGTCACCAAGGCTAACAGAGCCAGAAAGAATAGTCCCTGTCATCACTGTGCCTTGACCCTTGATAGAGAAACAGTGGTCGACTGCCATAAGGAAGTGTCCTGAGGGGTCCCTTGATGGCAGGTAAGCTTGAGACTTCAGGACCTGAAAAATAAAAAGATAAAAGCAGCACCGTGCCTGGGTGAAAAGCCATGACAGCCATACAGCAAAAGGAAGGCAAGTGGATGATTGATTCAACTAACTTGCATTTTTTGCCAATTTCAGGCATCTCCTGGTGAGCTTAGAACACACCAATGTCAAATGAACTGTGTGTGCCACAGAGGAGATGCACACGGAGCAGCAGGAACAGTTCGATTTTCTGCCTTAGAAAGATTTGCTGCTGCACATTTAGCTTGGTTAGCAAAACTGCACTGGCAATAAAGTTGCTGCCAAACTCAATATAAACACTGCAGCAAAGCAAAGAGAAAACAAACAACTGTACTTCCACCTTCACCCCACGCACACACCAAAAGTACAATTTTACAGTGCATTTTGCTACTTCAGCTTTTTTGGATCTTGTGAAAATGAACTTATACTGATATTAGTGCTCCATAAAGCCCATCCCTGCCTCCCTCCCAGGAAAACTATTGTACTGGGTTAAGTTTTCAAAGTCAACTTCCCCTTCAGATTTCTGTTAATGCTTCTTAAAATAAAACCACTACAAAAAATAGCTACATAAGCATCATTTTCCAGATATATTCTCCAAGTTCAGGATTTCTGTTTTGCTGACAAATACTATGTTTTTTAAAATCTATCATGACAAACAGAAGACCTTAATTATAGAAATGCAGTCATGTAGCCAACAGTGCTTCAAAGGAACCAGTTCACCCCTGCCTCAAATCTTTTGATCTCTGCCTCTGTTGTAACATCAGCACAAACTTGGCACTGCCTTGACTGCTTTTAAGGTCAGAAACCACAGGTTAAGCCCAAGTTGCAATGGCAGAACAATGAAAAGAGTCTCTTATCTAGGACAGAAAGGATAATACCTTAAAGCTCAACAGCAGGGTTCACGCAGCATTTGCCAGCTCTTCTAAATATTAGGTCTCAAAGTTGACAGGAACAGCTGCAACATCGATATTTCCTTCAAAGGTTTTAACCCTGAGAAACATCTCAGTACATCTACTCAGAACTGTATGAAGACAGGACTAAGGACTTGCCCATCTCCAGCTCTCCAGACATTGCTGTGGACAGCCTGGTTCTTGCTAAGTCTACATTAAGGCCATACCACATCACACCCCCAGGCCTACCGCAGGCCACACGTGCTTGGGAGGCAGGACAACACTCAGTGTTCAGCAGCTTTGTGGAATATCCCGTCTTTCTACAAGCCAGGCTGCCCTGGATCAGGCATCCCTAGATTTTTGATGACTGGTGCTACACCCTAACTTCGGCAATTTACAAGTATTTTTAACCTGGCAGCATCCAAATCAGACCTTGACAAGTCTGCAAAGAATCATGCCTCTTTTGTAGGACTTTTCTGCTGCCTGCAAACAGCAGCAACACCCTTCCAGGGCAAAGATGCTACTTTTCCCTAAAACATACTCTCAGAAAGGGTGACAAGTCTACTAAAAGCTAAAAAATTGTCTCAGAGTTATTTTAAGTGTCTTGTCGTTCACAGTAAAAGCTCCATGCTATGTAACTTATTGTGCAACTTAGTTTTTTTGAAAGCCTGAGAATTTACTCTCTCCTGCTCTGAAAAGAAAAACCAAACCCAAAAACCCTACATTGCTGGAACTAAGAATCAGTTTGCTTACTCTCCTCTTGCTCATATAGGTCCAATATGTTAGTCATACAATCATATAGCTTTTTCCAGGCCCTACCTTATTCCAGACACAGGGTAAATCCAAGCCATGCTTTTATCTTTTGCAGACATGCAAGGCATGCAGTAAGCAAGGCAGAGTACCACAGAGAAAGATGGTTTCATCACGAAGGCAAGTAGTGTTTCTCCAGGGAAAGGATTCTACACTTGCTTATGCAATAATTCCCATGTATTGTCTTAAAAAAAAAAAATGAACTTCTCACACAGTCACTGACCATGTACAGCTCAGACTATCCAAAGAGAAATGTCAAAGCTCAACAGAAGTGCTAAGCATTCACAATTGCAATCAAAATTGGAAGGTACTATGATCTGAACACAAGGATGTCCCAAAAGAGCTCCTAGTTTCCTTAAATGTGGCAACAAAAATTAGTAAAAATTCAGTGGCCCTAACTCCTTCATGCCTCAGCTTCCTGGTCTAAATATGGATTAAAGTCACCTCAACACTTCCTATAAGTCTTTTGGAAGTAAATCAACTGTTTGCCAGCTGTTCAAAGAGCACAGTGATGTGTGCCAAAGAGAAGTCCAGGAGGAAATTAATCATTCTGAAGGCAGAATTCTGAATACAGTCTTTGACTAGAGTCATGAGGCCACACAAAAAAATGAGAATTAAAGTAAAATAAAAACTATCTGCTCACTAGTTGAGCCCTGTCCATCCTGTGCAAGGAACAAGGTAAGGGTTGTTTAAAGAACCGTGCCCTTAAACACTGGATCACAATGCATACACAAAGGAAGGAGACAATTCCCAATACATAACTTTTAAGTGTCTGACTTAACAACTTTGCTGTTTTCTTAACTGTGGTACAATTGTACAACACCACCCAGCAGGGATTTGGCAGAATTTTAAGCTTGTTTTTATTCGTTATGCTTCGTAATCCTTTACAACTTTAAAATGAATTTAACCACATGTATAATAGCTGTTTCTTAAGACACAGCTATTCAAAGACACTGAAGCATAGTAGAAGTTGAAGAAGGAGATCCACTTTTGGGCCATGCAACCTCAACTTCTCCATTCACTGGAAGGAATCCCTAAAAAAATCAGGTTCTTTAAAAAACCTACAATAACGCAAGAGTTCCTCAGCTCTAGACATTAATACAGTGCACTTCAAAAGACTTAAAGTTTAAACACATCTAATGTTAGTATTATGGACATCAGCAGGTACCTCAATTAATTCAGAAACACCTATTGGATTCTCAGACTCTGGGGCTTCCGGTCCACCAGGCTTTGCTGCAACAGCAACAATAGGGCACCCACAGAACCTGAAAGAGAGAAAGACTCCCACCATTAGACCACAGATCTCCTACATGTGTCAGTGAGAATTCCAGGCTCATCTGACAATGAAGGCAAGGAAATTCCCTCAAGTTCTGATTAATCTGCTCTTCCCCCACAGTGAATAACTGACAAATTTTTCTTTTCAACCACATCTGTGCTACTGGATCTCACCATGAAATCTTCAGTCCTGTTCAGCATTAATTACTGATTCAACTCTGTGGCAGTCAAAAGCAAAACAGGGACTGCTACCCAGTCTCACTGCAGTGCCTTTGTATTCAAGCCATTTTCCCTGGAAGCTAGCACAGTCTTCAACTTTCATTAAAACAATGACAAACATAACTTCAGAGTCACTTCAAAATAGGAAACAAATCCAAGAGGGCACACGATGCCTACCCAGGTCTGCAGGCAGACTCCAAAATCTGCAGACAACAGAAAGATCTAAATCTACTGAAATAAAAGTTCATGGAACTCACAAGTCTCAAACATGCAACAGGTCAGAGAAGATCAATACTTCCACAGCTGAGCTCAGTTTAGGTTTTCTCTTAAAATCAGTTTTGCTCTTCAAGCCCTTAATATTCAGCAGCCTTTTCCACAACAAACTTCGCTTTTTCTCTCTAAAATGACATCTAGTATTTGAATAATTTGATACTCTTTTGCCTACCTGCTGGAAAGGGAAGTTAGACTATAAGTCAAATTATTACAGCATTTTTGCAGAAATCAAGATTAGTAATTTAAATATATATTAAAGCACTGGAATAATAATCAGCAATAACAGAAAAGTGATTGGTTCCCACAGATATTTGATTCTTACACAAGAGATTCAAACCAAAGGTAATTACTGGGGTCATCCTTTTGACATTCACCCCCTATTGCATTTTATTTTCTTTATCAAGGCCTTGTCTTCTTCCTCCAGTTCACTCCCTTTTTGAGATAAAAAATTAAGTTCTACATAGTGACCACACAGTAATCAAGCATATAAGGTATTTTCTTTGTTTATATGCCCTAAGTCTGGGGCACCTAGGGACAAGGGGTAATAAAAACGTGCACTGAAATGTCTGCAATTAACCATAAAACTTTTGGAAAATTACTTTCCTACAAATACTTGAGGGCACTGTATTGCAACCAATAGGAAGTTATACTGAACCAGGTGCTATCCTCCTTCTCCCCTACATCAGAACAAACTTGAGTAATCATGTACCACCTTCGGCAGCACTTCCAAACATGATTCAGCCCCACCAAAACTCTTACTCCATCTCATTTCTTTATTGTCATGTGGAGTTTAGACCCTACTGGAAAAAGATAAAAGGTTAAATGTGGAAAAAATGTGTTATTGCTGTGGCATTGTGCAGGCACACCTGTGCGCATAGAGAAATAACAACCAACAGAAGAACTACTGGAAAAAAACTCATTGCCATGTTTTCTGCTGTCAAATCGTCTCAAGCATATGCCGTCCTAATAACAGTACTTTAGATACACAGAAACAGTTAAAAACATGCATTTGGAAATTTAAAGTCAAGTGGGAAAGAGGCTGTCAAGGAACACCACATGCCTAAAATACAACAGGACAAGCAATTTATAATCAAGCCCAGGTCAGCAGTGCTTTCAAAGCACCACAAAGCACAGACTGCACATGCAAAAAACTGTATTTTTGTTAGGAGAACAATACACAAAAACACATCCAATAAGAGCATTCCTAGGATCCAGAGTTCAAATTAGTAATTAAAACATTATGACAGGAGCACTTCTCTCCAGGTCAAACCACAGCTGTTGTGATCAGCTGATACACATCCTTCTTTCAAAGGGGGCTAGAGGTAAGGACCTTGCATTCAAAATGTCAACTGTTTCAAAAATTCACTTCCCTTTCAGTTTTGACTGCACTCCAGGATATAATTCAAACAATGTACATAAAAAAAAGTAAGTCTGAGCACAAGTTTCCATCCAAAATTTTGCCTTCCTTTTATGAATATGCAACTAGAAAGGTGATTTGTTTTTTTTTTCCAATCATTTGCAATACAAGTTTGGACTAAACCAGGAATTAAGTACCCACCTGAATTACTGCCATTCAAACAGAAAAAAAAAAACCAAAAACAAACAACAAAATCTTGAAAGGACAAAATAAAACTTTAAGATAAACGCTCTTTAAAAATCATTAACTTCTTGGCACAGATGAGTAACAGAGATAATTATCTAATGGCTTTTTTATGGTTTTATTTGCTTGAAAGGTTGATATATGGAATGTGGATTAAGCAGTATTACAGATAACTTACTTTTTCATCTGACATTTTCCTAACTTTATTATCTCAGTGCTACCCTTATTGGGACTACCTGTGAATTTGATCAACAAGCTCACAGCTATAAAAGCCAGTTGATTCAAATTGCTTTGATATATTGTGTGTTCCCCCTTTCTCTAACACATTCTTTTTTCTGAAGTGAAAAAGACTGGTAGATGACAACAAAAGTTGTCAGCCCATCCAAACACCACCCCTCTCCCCACACCAGTTCTTCACCTGGATATTTTGGCTTTTCTTTCATGCACTCTGCTTAATTATATCCAAATGCTTCATTATAGGAAAATATTTCTCTGCATATGATACTTCCAGAAGCAAATTCAGGACTGCATTTGAGTTTCTGGTAATCATTCCACCCCTTCTCTTTGCTAGGTGTCTCAGTCTGTTTAGAAGCACGTTGGAAGGGATATATGGGTAAAGTACTTTTGGTGAATATTTTAGTACAAGTTAGCTGTTAATATTACTGTTAACTTACTTAGTATTTTCCAAGGTCTTCTGCATTTTCTTAGTCATCTTCTCAATGGCACTTTGTCTCTTCCCCTCTGGCAGGAGATCTATTTTGTTCAGAACTACCACCATCTTCTGGCAGGCAATTTGCCCAATTACCAAGCACTCTGCTGACTGTGTCTGCATCCCTTTTGTCACATCTATTACAAGCATCATCAAATCAATAATCTGGGCACCTGGAGGAGAATTCACAGTCAGTACTGCAGCAGCATAAAGAGATTAAGGATAATTTTCTTAAATGGTTTATAAAAAGACTTTCAGCATATGTACAAATACCCAGGAAAAAAACAAATCACAGTGAGCATATCAAATACATGGCTGTGTCTGAAAACAAGACCTCAGGAACTTAAGCTATTATATGCTACAATCAAATAAAAAATATGGAAGCACATAATAGTTTACATATTCCTCCATGTTAACAGTTCAGGTTTAAGAATGTTATCACTGCATTTTTAAAAAATTAAGATTACCCTTCCAGCAACAGAAACATGACATTTGCCTCACCTAAAAAAGATAATCTAAGAAGCTAAGCAAGAATCTGGTACAGCCAAAGAAACACAACTGGGTTCTTACATCCCAGTAAGAACCAAGTAAATGCCACATAACTGCCTGCAATCCTCAGCCCCCATCCACTTCCCACCATTTCTTCTTTCAGAGTCCAAAATTTGATAGAAGTGAAAACAAGATGACCATCACCATAAGCAGGTTTACCCCTAGTCCAAATTAATTCTTACAATCCCTTAATGTGAGGAAGAGGTGATTTAAGTCCTCATTCACTCCCAATTCAGATGTACATCATCTGAATGTGTACACACCCACCAAGAGATCCAGTTCTTAGATCTCTTCAGGAAAGTTTCCACACTTTAAGTTACCTGTCATGCTATGGATTATTTTTATTTTAGTTTTCAAAGTACTGCTGTCATGAATCCTTAATCCTTCAAATGAAGCCACTTGAATTTCATGGATTTAAATTAGTTTTCAAAGAAGCTTTTGATGAAAGTTGGGCATTCCATTAAGTCAGAATTTTCCTCTCTCATTCCAGGTAACTGAACTATTCTGAATATAACAAAAGAGTAAAATTAAGACTTTAACCAAGAAAGGTTAAGCATAAACAACTAAAACAAAAATCTAAACTACCAGAAAGTCATGTCAAAAACCACATTCTGAATTATGATAGAAGGCAGAAATCCTGCAAAATAGCAGCATTCTGCATTTAAGTACTTTTAGTATTTGCCTTAAGCTTTTGATCAGAAGAACAAGAAATCAATACAACTGTTCCTTGTTCCTTTGCCCTCTACAACCCTTCCCCCCCTGCTTTTTTTTTTTTTTTTTTTTTTTAGCTTTTACAATGGCTGTGACAACAGCTACCCTTGTTTGTAATTCCCATGAACTCTGGATAGGAAATTATTCTGAGGTTGAAGTGCATGGGTGACTGAGTGGGCGGGAGCTACAACAAGAAAATAATAAAAAAATATATAGTTACAAATGACTATTTTCAAACTACCAAAGCTTTCATCTTGTAATAATGAATGCTAAACCCTTCAGAATGCTAGTTGGATAATTATGACATTTCCAAAGCTCTCACAGAATTATCACCCATCACTTAAAGCATCTCTCCATGACAAATTGAAGTTAGACTTTCCATCTTCAAAAGTGTTTTTCATTGTTGCAAGAATTGTATTCATTTAGAACTCACTTAAAGTATAACATAAGCATCATCAACGCAGTACAAAAGCTCAGTCTTTACACACCATACAGAAACATGAAGAGCATAAAACAGCTCCAGGGGGACAAAACACTCCCAATGCATGCACTTAGCACACTTTTTTTAAAAAAAACTTAATACAACACATTTTGTATTAAGCTCTACCACACAGTAATTATTAGCAGCCAGGTGATATCTTTAAAATTATTGGGAACTAATAATTAAGACTTAACTATGAAGTCAAATTTTCTATTAATACTATTTAAAAAATGCATCTAGTAAAGAAACCAATGCTGCAGCTTCAGTTTTTGCTAACTCTGCTACAAGCACAAAAGCATGGCAATCCTTAAGCTTCAGAATTGAGCCAAAGTAACCAGATCCAAATCTGGCCTCCAAAAGGGTGGCTGATAAGATGCATTGTTTATGGTGTGGTATCTCTTCCCTCCAACAGGAGACAAAATCTACATCGTTATGTGCATTTTCAGTAACAGGGTCACTTTATCTTGAAACACTAAATCAACTGCTTTGAATATAGTTGTTATAAAGCAAGTACTTGTAATTGTTGTATTTATGAATCTATTAGCAACACTTTAAAAAAAGCCATAAAAATTATCAGCCCAGTTGCTAGAAGGTCAAGAATGTTTATGTCGGGGCTTTTCATAGCAAAGAGAAGATAAACAAAGACAAGGTAAATGGTACAGTCCACAGAAAAAACTCCAGCAAAACATGGAAATACATAAGGACTGTCCACACAAAAATGTATTACAAGGCAAGGAGATGGAGCACACCAAGAGTTACAAACTTGTGCCTCAGTACAACTCTTGTGCCTCCTCCAAAGCCTTAACATGCTAACTGGGCACAGTTCACAAGAGATGTTGCCAGCAGGAACAGGAAGCATGGCAGGGGACTGCCACCCAAGCATGGTGGGAAGCTGATGCTCTTCTACTGAGTGGTGAAGCCAAGGGAAAGCTCAGGGCAGCACTGACAGACATACTTTAACAGCACCCTCCCCAAGGCATGAGGATGTTCTGTACATGTCCACTCATGCACATCAAGACATGAAGTTTACAGGACCTTTGGGTAACAAGACAAAAAAATAATGCTGAGATTTAGTTCCTTGGCTTCCCACTTTAAACTGAGCTGTTTAATGAGCCATCTTTGACAATTGACCCTGTTCCAAACCCCTCAGTCTTCTGCTAGACAGTTTTACATTTTATTCTAGAGCCCATTTCCTTATTTGCTCTCCATTCCTACATAAAAGTTAATTAAATACTAAACAGAAATAATCCAGGGAAGTCAAAATGATGTACCCAGCCATTCACAAACATAGTATTTCTAATCAGGAGAGTTGGCAGGTCACTTGTAACATGGAACACCTCATTCACTACACTTTTTCCTCATAGCATGTAAGTCTGCTATTTACAGCACATTTAACTTCATATTCACTACCTAATTAATCACACACTAATTATCAATCAACTCACTACCACATTGGAGTTCAGTCAACAAAAGGAACAACAATCCTGAAGATTTTTTTACAGAAGAGCAAGATTCAAGTAGGAAAGGTGAATTGAGGACAGAATATAAGAGTATTCTCATTTAAACATTCTCACTTCAAAAGCCATACCAAGTGAATACTCCAAAAACAAAACAAGGTGATAAAATCACTCAATAGATCCACACCATCTAATCACTGAACATCTGCCATGGGTTCTTGTATAAAATGGAACAGAGCTGAAACACACTGCTTTTGCTCAACAAAGGACACAGAATATGGTCCTACAGAGTTAAGAAGAATTATATGGAAGAGATGAGTGTTTCTCAAGCCCTCAAAGCAGGCAACCAACTTGAAATTATTCTAAATGAAGCAAAGACACATGCAAAGGTCAAGTCTGTATATAAGGAAGCACAGCAATCAAGAGAAATATTTTATCTGCATTGAAGCAGGTCATATAGAATCAATGATAAAGTTAAACAAAGGTATTCAAATTATTTCCCCTATAGAAAAAAAAACACAGAGGTATAACCTTTTATTTGCTGTTACATCTAAGAAAGAGGTGTTCAAGAACGTTCAGAAAGATAAAGAATCCTTCTGACATGCAATTTCTCACTTTGCTTGAAAATGAAAGATCAGCTATCAGAGTATCCCCCACATGATGACATACAGCTCAGATGGAGCCCTGTAAAAAGCAAATCAAACAAACTAGTTGTCATCAGAAAACACAAGGGGGTGGGGAAAGATGGGAATTATATTGCAAGATAAGCAGATAGACCACAGTGAAAACACAAAGTAAACTAGATAGTCTGAGTGAAGAAAAACAAACAAGAAAGATAACACATGAACAGAGAAAATCTGGATGGGAGCCAGATACAGGAAAAACACAAGAGCAGCAGCACAGCATCACAGAGAAGACCACAAGAAGCACCAGCTAGACCAGAAGGCAGCAGCACTCATTTGTACCACAAAAGTGACAGGGAACACAGAACTCTGATGTTAAGAAACAGACCTTGACAGAGAAGGGAAAGAAAGTCCAGCCCCTGCCTTGAACAATGACATCCAACCCACTCCTGCTTCTGAATTTTGGGGAGCATCTGCTGATGAACGGTTGCCAGGGAAGTAATTTATTGCTGTTTACTCATGAGACTAGTGGAATCAGGGGTCTCATAGATATGGAAAGTTGCAAAAGCCCAGAAGGCAGCAACTCGCTTCACCTAAACTGGCCATTAGCTCAATTTTTTCAAATGAAGAGCAAAACATCCACCTTTGAGCTCCACACAGCTTATATAAGTAATAATAATAAATAATATAGAAGTTAAGCATTTACATAAGTAGACTTGATCTAGCTCCCTGAAGCTAAAGTAGACAAACTCTGCACTGGTTATGCAAAAGCACACAATTAGTAAAAACCAGATCTGTTCTACCAGTATTCACAGGGAAGCACCATGTGAGCACCCAGCCTACAAGGCTGTAACACTGTAATGCACAGTAATTGCCATGTTTATTTTGGAAGAGCATGTTATGTCGTAAGTAACTAATCTCTTTCAAACTCCATCATAGAAATTGTTGCAGTTCTGCATGTAAGTGAACTCAAAACACTTTGTTTGTGCAACCTGTTGCATGCTTGTAAATTATATACCCAAGCTCCCCAACCAAGCTGTGTGTAGATGGAGCCCTACAGCAAAGCACAACATCTACACTAAGTTAAAGACAGCATCACTAGGCCTAAGGAAACAAAAACACAAAAAAGAAAAAACCCCACAAATAAAAAAAAAAAAACAAACCACCAAGCAAAAAACCACCTAAACACAAAACCAAAAAAAAAGAAAAACAAAAACCACTCACACTTTTCAGCCTCTCTTATTACTTTATCAGTTCCAAAAGTTTATTACTATTTTATTATACATGCACTATGTCCTCTTTCAGACCCATTCAGTTATCAACTCCAAGCACCAGCTAGCAATTTCATCCTTACTGAGAAGAACCACCAAAAGGCTGGACTTGATAGTCTTAAAGGTCTTTTCCAGCCTTGGTGATTCTGTGATAGACAGAATCTCAACTACTCTAACAAATGTAGATCAGTTATTTTAGAATATTTACCATTACTTTGGCAAGCAAAACTTTGGTATTGCATTAGATTCCCCACACGATGTCAATACAAAGGTGATTTGGCTCCAAACAGTAAAACCTGAGCTAGCGGAAGAAGAAGAGGAGAGGGTCAGGTCCCTGTGTGACCAAGGGGGAGGTTTTGCCTACCACGGGAGCACAGAACACAGACAAAGATTCCAACTCTGGGCTTTTTTTAAGCTACTATGTCCTGTCCTGTTTGTGGTAATCTCTTTAGCTGACTTTGCACAAACAGTACAACTCCTGTTCACAGGCACCAAAAGGAAGCAGAAAACAGAATTGGAAATGTAAAAATAAAATAATTGTGGGCCATGGGCTATAATTTAATTTCATGCTTTGCAGGGAAATGACAGAGGACTTCCTTAAACATACTTTTTTTTAAATATGCTTTTTACCATGTTAGGATTTCCTCTAGTGCAGAAGAGAAAATAGGATTGTAGAAAATGTACCATTCTCAAGTATCATTGCTACTCAGGGGCAAAGCTGTTTTAATGTGCACTTCCCATTCTGGGGAAGAGGAAATTCTTCAATTAATAAACCGGGTGGACT